TTTCAGAAATTAGAGATTATTCTTCGACCTCTATTTTGACCCAAAAATCCAAATTTGAAGAAAATTGCCGACCCGAAGGTATACTGTAACCTTAAGCCAATCATAAAGGGTGTTTGCAGTCCAGTCCATGTAGCTGCTACAAAGTACAGGAAAACGTGTGCTGATTGATTAAGCTAGTAATAGAAAAACTACCGGTAAGGGAAATGAGAATTACTTTTGATACTCGCGTGGAAATTGTGACATTTCTTCATATGTTCCTTATGTCTTTGACAGGGTAACCTTGCCCAGCCACAGATGATGGTAGTTTCAGATATTGAAGATGTGTTTGTCCCCCTTGTTGATGGCTTTTTAGTAAGTCCCCAGGAAGCCAGAAGTGTAGTAGACAGGTATGTCTGGACAGGTTGGATGATGTTTATTACTGCAAAAATCTTCATGATCATAATTTTTCAGATCGTTTTCATCTGTGTAAAAAAAGTAGAGTAACTGTCCTGTGACCTTTTTACTTACATGTACCTCAACACATTTTTACTGTAGTAAACTTATAGTGTCCTTTCTGTTATTTAATTTTTTTTAGTGTAAGAGTGCCAGTCTAATATGCTCTGTTTTATTTTGCAAGTCATTTGAAATACCTTCTCTATGATTCATATTGTTAGCCTTTTGGAACAAATTCCTACAATGTTTGGAGAAACCAGGGAAACAGAAACAGTGCTTGGTCCTGTCATTCAAGCTGGAAAAGAAGCGTTAAAGGTGGGAAACCCCCAACAATGTTATGCTTGTGCAAAAGGTTTATTGCTAGAGCTGTTTCCATGCTGTTAATCTCTGCTAATTTGGCACTATTTGCTATAATCAAATTTGTCTAACAATGTTATTTTCCCACAGGCTGCTGGTATTTCAGGGAAGCTGTTTGTTTTCCACTCATCCTTGCCTATTGCTGAAGCACCTGGAAAATTAAAGAACAGAGAAGACAGAAAACTACTCGGCTCTGAAAAAGAGAAGGTATGCTGTTTCAAAACTAAATCAAAGACAGACAGACAGACAGTCTGTCAGTCAGTCAGCCAACTGGATGGACAGACAGAGAGATGGATAAATTGACACATGGACAAACAAATTCTGGGGATCTGTTAGAAGAATAACAACCAAGAAATTGCAACATGTGCATTTATAATAATATCCTCACAAAGGGTCATTTTCTCAGCATTTTTTAATTTTTTGAAATGTTGAAATTTGGTATGAAAATTGGTTTCTTTTGTTTCAGACAATACTGACCCCACAGAATTCCTTCTACGAGAAACTTGCAAAAGAGTGTGTGGAAAACGGCGTTGCTGTGGATCTGTTTCTCTTCCCTAATGCCTACATTGATGTGGCAACCATTGGCTCAGTGGCTACTCTCACTGGGGGACAAATATACAGATATTCCTATTTCAAGGTATTGCCTTTATGTTTCATCCTCCCAAATCTTATGTTCTGACATTCTTGTTGAAAAAATATAAAACCTGCAAAATTCAGGTGCTTGCAAGTGCACCAATTCCAATTTCCAGAAGTGTTCATAAATTATGTGTCTATTCATGTGCCTTACAACTAAGCAGAGTTTGGAATTTAATCTGTCTCCCTGTTATTTAACTGAACACTGTAGGAAGCCACACATGGTGACCAGTTCCGTGGAGATCTCAAGAGAAATCTTCAACGTAATGTTGGATTTGATGCAGTCATGAGACTGAGATGTAGCACAGGTGATTTGACAGATCTTTTTTATTTCCTGGATAAGCCCCCATTCCTCTGTCTTAACCTACTGGTTCTTGTGACTTAGCATGGGTAATGTGCTGTCTCTTTTCATCTGTGATACTTGTATTTCTTATTTTAGATTTTAATGCTTTTTATTTTATAGAGGACCTCCCTGAAAACCACGTATTTACGTGAAGGGCGCTTCCTCTTTAAAGATTGTTTTTATTATTATTATTATTTATTATTATTATTACCTCAGGGCTGCGGCCAGTTGATTTCTGGGGCAATTGTTACATGAGCAACACCACAGATGTGGAACTGGCCATCATTGATCCACACAAGGTACTGTCGACTTACCAAGGAGATGTTTTGTTTGCTTTATTTTTTCGCCATTTACAAAGTATCCTTGTATAATGCGAGGCAGATCAGGGAGGCCAAACAAGTTTTCATTCCATGTGATCTGATAGTTATTCTGGTTTGAATAGTTGAAGATGAGGACTTAGTCTCTGGCTTTTATCGTTGTGATCTATTTGTCCTGTCTTCTAATAATGCCTCTCTTCACTTTGGAGTAGATATGGGTAACAATGAACCATTGGTGTAAGCTGAAAAAAGTGCAGGGAGTAGTTTGCAATCAGAGTGCATTCTGCCAGGGAGAGAAACAATACTTCACTGAGTTTGCTTAATGATACAAGATGAAGAAAAACACTGTCCCCTGAATTAACAGTGGATAATCCAGCATTGTGTTGGATTATCACTCATTAGATTGCTTTTCTTCTGTTAGGCTATTGCTATTGAAATCAAACATGATGACAAGCTACCTGAGGAAAGTCAGGCATACTTCCAGTGTGCACTGCTGTATACATCAATCAGTGGACAGCGGCGCTTAAGAGTGCACAACTTGGCCTTCTCTACTTGCAGTCAGTTATCTGACTTGTTCCGCTGCTGTGAAATGGACACATATGTCAATGTTGCAGCCAAACAAGGTGAGGAGAATTTGACTTTATTTTGATTTGCCCCATTCTCTAACCTGGAGCTCTTCTTGCTGCAAGATCCACAGTAAGATTCTCCTTACTCCCTTAAACATGGAACCGGGAATTCATTTTTGGTGTAAATTTCCTTGGGACAGTATGTGTTGTGAGCAGATCCTTTGGAGACAGGGATAAACATTTCTTAGCCATTAGGCTTGCAAAAAAAAAAATGCAAGGACTTTTTTCCTACCACGTTTTCAAACTTTCAACGCTATACACACTGTCAGATATCTTAGACCATACGTATTGTCAAGACTAACCAGCAGTGGCAAAGATGAGCCCTGCCTCAATGGTAAAAATGGTTCGAACCCAGGAGTATCAATAGTTCGTCTTGTGTGATCATCCGGGTGAGGGTAGTTCTGAAAAGAACTGTTGTTGGTGACTGACATCGAACGGAAGTCACCTTCAGAGTCAAGTGAATAGTGTTTGTCAGTGACGGTATTATAAGTTAGTCAACCCCTGCCTCAATGTTCCCAAGAACAAGATTTATAGCACAAAGAACCAGTTTTGAATAAGAAAAAAAAATGTTCTGTGCTTGTTGTTCTTTTCATCTAGCCATCAGACAAGTATACACATCATCACCTAAGTCAATCAGGGAAAACCTAATGAATCAATGTGCACAGATTTTGGCCTGTTACAGAAGAAACTGTGCTTCACCTTCATCTGCTGGTCAGGTAAAAATTTTAAAACAATGCAATCTGTTTTTTTTTGTAAAGAATATTTTTTTAATTTTCTTGCGTAACAATGTCACTAGCAACCTGCTGCACCTCGTGAGTCCACAACATTTTGACCACTGTGATGATACGAATCGTTGTCGATAAGAGTACAGACCACGCTAAATCACATTCCATGTGTTATCTGTAAACAGCCAATAGCGCCTTTTTTGGTACGCCTCGGCGGCATATCAGGTTCGTATGGTCCTGCTGTGGGTATTTTGGGTCGACTATGTCTCAACGAAATACGAGCCATGGCTCGACCAAACTCGCCTGATATGCCCCCGAAGCCCACTGAAAAGACATGATTATAAAGCGTAATGAGTATGTAATAAGTATCCTGTAAAAGTCTTAGTTTCATACCGAGAGGAAAACAAAATATGTGCTTGTATATTTTGTCTCTAGTTGATCCTTCCAGAGTGTATGAAACTGTTGCCACTCTACACAAACTGTATTTTAAAGAATGACATACTTTTAGGAGGTAAGTTTTCCTCTTCATTACATTGCGATATGAATTTTTGGGTTTTACAGGGCCCTAAACTGTTGGTATTTCTTCACTTGGTGTGGAAATTTAAAGTCTCCAAATTGATAATAGGAAAGCTACACAATCTTGTCACATTGTGGCCTTATGTAATTTCTGTGGGGAGGTGTTATATATAGGTATTACATAAGATGAGTGTATTGGTGTAGAAAAGTAACTCTAATTTGCTGTTTTGTGTCTAAGGTTCAGAGATGAGTTCTGATGATCGCAGTTGGTTAATGAGATCAGTGATGTCAATGGATCAAGCTGCGTCAGTGCCGTACTTCTATCCAAGGCTTTTCTCATTGGTATGCTCTGTTCACACGGTTAAGTTACGTACTTCTTACCTTATTAAACGTATCTCCCTACGGACTGACGTTGTTTTCATTTGTCAATCAATGAAAGAACCAGGGCGCATGCATGAAAAGTTGATAAAACTAATCTAACAATTCATCGAGTGACAATGGTATTTTTCACTGTGATGATAGGATGTGATGCCGTCGGATTTTTCTAACGCGTTAATTTTTTTTTGTTCTTGTTTGGTGCCCTTCAGCACGATTTGGACATGGATTCGACAGATCTTCCGAAAGTTATCAGATGTTCGGCTGATCGAATGTCAGAAAATGGTGTTTACTTGCTGGGTGAGTAGCTCTTCTTTACCCGAGCGTAATGTTATTCATTTCCACAACGACTGGAGATGGTTTTGGTCACGTTCCTCAAGCCCCAGATTGGCCCAGTCTCCTCAAAAACACTTTAAAGGAACAGCTGCATTTCTAAGCTACTGCGTTCTTAGCCGAAGAGTTTTGTAATATCTGTCGAGCAAAAAACAAAAATTAACTCGAAGTAACCTCCAAAGCGTGCCATATGTGCCACGCGCGGGAAAACATGAAGCCCGTGCCAATCGCGCGAAGAATCTGTGTAAAGCGCAGGAAAGCATGAAGTGCCAAACGCGCCAAAAATCTGTGTCGAATGCGGGAAAACATGAAGCCCGTGCCAACCGCGCGAAGAATCTGTGCCAAGTGCGAAAAAACATGAAATCCGTGCCAAGTGCGCGAAGAATCTGCCGAGCGCGGGAAAACATGAAGTGACAAGTACGGAAAAAATCTGTGTCAAACGCGGGAAAACATGAAACCCCCGCTAAGCGCGGAAAAAAGGGAAAAAATCCCGTACTATCCAGTCAAAATTTTGTTTGTTGTAAGTAGCTAGACCTTTTAATGGGCATTTGTTACTGACAGAAAATGGAATATCTCTATTCATGTGGATTGGGCTTCAAGTTGACCCCAGCTGGCTTAACCAAGTGTTTGGAGCGCATACGATTGGACAAGTCGACATCGAAATGGTAAGATATCAATAGACTTGTTATCTAAGTCAGGACAAACTGAGAACATGAAGAGAACTACAGCTCAAGGAAAGAAGATTATGTAGAACAGTATACTGATTGACCATGATGATAGTTCCAGATCTCCAAATGAGCGCGTCTAATAGTTACGTGGCCCAAAGGAGGTTATCAGAAGCGCTTATGTCGACATACAGAATTCTCGTTACTGTATTAACGATTATAATCGATTCGGTTTAAAGCTGTTTCCTTGTAGCAATCAGCCCCTTTCATTCTCAGCTGAATAACTGATGGTTAAGCGAACGTGGCAACACTGAATTCTAATGAATTTGTTGCTTTGTTTTTTGCCAGACTTCTCTTCCAGTCCTTGATAATCCTCTTTCTTCTCGCCTAAATGACATTATACGGCAGATTCAAGATCAGAGGCAACACTATCTCAAGGTACACGAGTGAATGATTTGAATCTAGAGTACCAATCAGTCATGGGGTGTGTTCATCTTTCTTCAGTACTCCGTTGTGAGAGTCCAGACATGGACTGTTGTCGGCCACATAAATTTCCACAATCTGAACAGAGGTTGCTATCAACAACATTCCTTCTGCCGAACTAAGATACTAAACGAACTTAAGGTACAACTTAGCGTCACTTTGGTCTGTATGTAACCAACAAGTACAGCCACGAGAAAGCAGAAAATAAACATTGTGCCATGCAATAAAAAGGAGCGTTAAACAACTTTCCAAGACAGTTTTGCTTGAGACTGGCGCGCGCATAACTAAATCACTCATAATAAACAAAGAAGTGTAGAGAAAGCCTAAAATGTTAATACAATACAATACATAAATTTATATAGCGCTCATTTCCAGAGCTCAGTGGCGCTTTACAATGTTTGTAATTAAAATTAAAACCACTTCAACTTAAAATTGGTAATTTTAAGTGCCCGTTAGATGAACAGAAAGACAAGGCTTCGTGTTTCGTGTTGGGAGAACTAGAAAATGCTTTCTGAAGTATTTTAGTGACTGATTGATTAACATGTTTCTCACGTTTATTGTGGTTAGTTAAATCTTTGCTATTGCTGTTTTTTCAGTTAACTGTTGTCCGACAGCGAGACAAGCTCGAAGGATGGTTTAAACATTTCTTAGTTGAAGACAAAGGCATCAACCCAGTGGCTCACAGCTATGTGGACTTTCTTTGCCAAATGCACAAGGAAATCAGAAGTCTGATGACCTAATGAATACTCCATCGACAGAAAAAAAAAAACACCTATAAATTCACAGGGAAGACTACGCAAAAAAGCATTACGAAAATTGCCTCCGTTATCTTTCACAGCTCCTCAAAACTACGGCATGTTTGGCGTTCTTTATTAATGTTTTGAGTAGTTGTGGAAAAACAGTGCAAAGGAAGAGAGAAACTGGTCGACAGAGGTTTATATTCGTATAACAAGATTTGAAATGTAACAACAGAGTTTAGTTTTTAAAAACCAAAGCTGCATGCATTAAAATTGACATGCAGTGACATTTACACGTCTCCTTGGGTTCTGTTAAGTTTTCTATTAGGAAAGCGAGAAGCGAAGCATGATCCAAGCCAAGTTTGTTCAAAACGTTTATGATGAAGTTAGCAGGAATGGCACAAATGTGTTGTTTTGTATCTCTCTCACTCTGTGAAATGAAAAACGTCTCCAAAACACGCTAAGTTGACAGCTTACCAAAATGCGAATTGTTAAAAATTAATGATCATTTATTATTTTCTAACTCGTCTAAATTAAAACAATCTTTATGACTGACGTTTCTTGATCGTTTTTCTTTTAACCTCGTTTTGTTTATAAATTCCCCAGTCCACCTTCTAACGCGGGAGGCGCATTGGCCTCATGGTTACTGCGCTCGTCTTCGGATCGAGCGGTCCGGGTTTGAGCCCTGGCCGAGGACATTACGTTGTGTTCTTGGGCAAGACCGGGCAAGACGCTTTACTCCCATAGTGCCTCTCTTCACCCAGGTGTAGAAACGGGTACCGGGGAACTAAACTGCTGGGGTGATGGACTAGCATCCCACCCAGGACGGGGGCGGAGACGGGGTAGAAATAGTCCTAGTCGCTTCATGCTACAGAAGTCGGGATAAGCGCCGGCCTGATGGGGCTGTTGGCTCGTATGTAGACTTAAAATTAACCTACGCCAAGCACACGCTTTGAGTCGGGTAACGCGCTTCAGACTTCGCTGATTTGGTCGAGATATGGGAGTTACTGATAGATTCCCAAACGCTTCAGCAAAATTACCGAAAGTAGTAACGATGCCGATGATGGTGCAATATTAGTATATCGGATGTTCTGTAAGTTAAAATCACTAGCAACGATTTTTTTTAAATTAACCTTTAGTGCTGAAATGGTATTTAATGTAAGGGGTAACGCTGTAATGGACTAACATCCCATCCAGGGGGCACTAGACATACTTCCAGTCGCTTCATGCTACAGAAATCGGGATAAGTTCCGGCCTGATGGGCCACTTGGCTTTTATACAGACTTTACCTTATGACTGACGTTTCTTGATCGTTTTTCTTTTACCCTCGTTTTGTTTATACTTCCCCGCTCTCCCTTCGAACATTATGAACGGACGTAACGAGGATTCCATGACAAATTTTGCCCTCGATTTGAGCTTGAGTTTGAGGGCGCAGCCTGAGTCGATTATCACGCATAGAAATCGAGAGCGACTAATCGAATTGTTTTAGTATAATCTACCCGTCGGTTAAAACTTTGTCTACATATGCATCCTCTTCACAGTCACTTCGAAAACGCCAAGAAGCTGCCGACATTTTGTTACCCGCAAGAGAATGATAGCGTAGCCAATCAGAGAACGGCATTCGCGAGAGAAAGCTAGTATATTTGTACTAATGGCTAAGTCTTGGGCGAAACGCTACGAGCGCTGTTACAACGATTTTGTCATTAAAAACATACCAAAAATGGTTTTTTATATATGTTACCATTTACCATGCAATTTTAAGATCTTTATAAGTGTGCTTGCTTTTCTGTATGTAAAGGCAAATTCTAAGGAAATCTGTGAAGAAATGTCTTTTTCTTCTTTTTTTCAGAAAAATGATGATGTCAGCATTTTTATTGAGATTCAAGGCTAATTATCTCGAAAAAATGCATGACTACCCCCATTTTTCTTTGTGGATTCCAATAGCCCTTGCAAAGATCTACTTTTTCCGCGTGGTCCTAACCTGGCGTAAAAACCTTTGTATTTAGTAGGCACCGTCTTAAAGTGTCGTTTTCGTTTAGAGGTTATCAAATTTAAAACAATCAACTGATTTGTGACATGTATTACAGCATGGTTTTAAATGTAAGACGACTAGTATTACTTTTGAAGAAATGCGCTGGAGCTACCTAACAAGTTCCATGAAAAGTTTAGTCTGTCCCTACGAAAACACGACGGTAGCTAGTTTCTACACCAAAACGTCACTTACCGCTATTCGGCGAATTCGGCGGTTCACTTCAGGTGGCCGAACACAATTTTCGCGCGCCCTTGCCTTTGCGATTCAGCACGCGCACAAAGATTGCAAAAAAAAACAAGCATGGCGTCGATAGAGCGATCATTTTGTTTGGTCAATGCCCGCGCTATATGTGCTATTTTTCCTCATAACTGAACACAGCGTATTTCTGGTTTTAGTCTTTTATTAGAAGTGTACGTTAGAAAATATAACGATGCAAAGAACCCCGCAATTCGCAGATTGTTCTTTGTTAGTGAAAGATGCAGCGCATGCGTAGTAGGTCAAAAAGTTGCGATTGAATGCGGAATAGCTTTCGCGGAAATACGGCTATTTCTCAAGAACCGCTCATTAGAATTTCACGAAGTTTGGCACGAAAATACTTAAGGAGACAAGTAACTGGATTATTGAAAAAAAAGAAATAATAACTGTGTTCAGCCGCCTTCAGTGTAATCTTCCGGCAGCAACATTGATAAGACTGAACTCAACAAGTCTTTTCGATAGATCAACGAATCAGCCGCTTTTTTTGGCTGTGTTTTCACCGTTCTCTCTTGTAATTTCACGAGAGACGTAAAACACGTTTTGATTTCTCTTGTTGATCACCTGGGGAATCATGTAACTTCTCTTACACTGTTGGGGATTTTGCGCGCGAATTTCGCTGCGGAAGACTTTGTATCTCTTTGCAGTCTTCTGAATCCATTTTTGTCGGTATTTTATCCTACTGGCTTCTAACCTCGTTCCCAGTACTTTTCCCTTCGAGTTTAGGAGGCTAAGGGTAAAGCCCTGGGAATGAGTTTGACTGGCTTCCAGGCTTGGTAAATATCCACCACTAGTCTCCAGTCCACTACACGGAATAATTGTCAATTTTCGCGAATGAGGAAGTAGAACGTCTCCCTTCCCTCCCCACCCCCCTTCTACAGCACTTATCACGCAGGCTACATTAGTGTAAATCCCACTTTTATTTTGAGCCTGCGCCGTGTTACAGTGAAATTAATCTACAAAGAAACTTTATCCTGATTTATCCTGAACTATATGCTTTCAAAGCTGTTTATTTAAAAAAGCCTGTTTGCTACTGGAACAACTGCAGGTTGTTTTTACCTTACATTACATGCACAAGGCTACTCTCAGGACAAGAAGTTCGTGACGATCCTCATAACCCCTAAGAAAGAGACTTCAATCTTATTGAAACTCCACGAAAACGTTACTAGTGATGTTGTGGCGGCGGCATCTCCTCCACATAGATACGGGCTACTGCACCCCATGCGGTCCTCGCGTCAGCATCACCCCAACCATAGCAGTTACCGACCCAGAATCCCACTCTCACCTCCCCCTTAGGGACTTTTTCGCACACTCCTTCAATATGACGGACACGAAGTAGCGCTTTTAAGGCATTTCCGGTTCCGGTTCGCATGTGCAATAAACCATCGATGGGCGATGGAGCACTGCACTCGGCGCCATTAAAGGTGAAGTACCACCGCTTACAGCACCTGTCGCAATTAAAGATACCCAGTACGCCATTGTAGAAAACGCGCAGACCAGTGTCATCTGAATTTTTCTTGAAAATGCACTCCTAGGAGAATTTAAAGTAAAGAAAGACAAATCAGAGACTAAAAGCCCTGAAAACGTCTTATTCTCACAATCTAGCAGTTACTGCAGAGAATGCGGAAAAAAAAAACTCTTCGGTCGTACGGTACACATAAGCTCAAGCCATGAAAGCTGGGAACGCGAGCTTCGTGAATTTCGATCAAATTCAGTCACTTTTTTCTCTGAAAGAGGATACGCTGGAAACTTGCTTAAAGAAAACTGTGAAAATAAAATATTAATTTAAACTTTTCCAGAAACAGCTCCTATATAAAGGAGACTAACCTATCTGTTATTTCATTTCTCAAAACTTGAACTCACTATACTGTACATGTACTAGCTATAATTATGCAGCGCTTTGTCCTGGTATACCAACAGAATGCGTTGAAGGTTTGTTTTACAAAACGTATATATTTCAGTTTGTATGTACAGCTGGTTTATTTGTTATTATTATTATTATTATTATTTATCTCGTATAGGTTGTTCTTCCTTCTGCCGTTCGACTGTCGTTTATCGTGTTTGCACAACGGCGAATGCTGACATTACCGGTTATAAAATAAAAGCACTCATTTGTTAGTTCCAATTTTTTACCAGGGTTATGACCCGTTTCAAACTTACCAGGAGAAAGCCCTTGTCAGTTTCGAGATCCTTATGCTGCCAAACACATTGCCTCCAGTTACGCTCCATGCTCCCTGGAGGGCCCTGGGCCCCAGCAGGACCTTGAGGGCCGGGAGGACCCCGGGCGCCAGGTGTCCCTGGTGGACCCCTCATCCCTGGCGGTCCAGTATGTCCTTTCGGTCCTGGGGGACCGCGATGAAAAAAAAATCGTTTCGCAAGCGACTTATGGGACTGATCCTAAAAATTGAAGAGAAAACAATTTTCAGTTAAAGAATTCCACCTGTTTGGCCCAAGACAATCAAGAAACTAAGCAAGCGCAAGGGAGCCATAGCAGTTCCCTGCAAGCCGAGTGGAAAAGCTTTCACGTATTGCTTACAAATTTGCAAATCTGACAAATTAATTAGAGCTACGCCAAGTTTGGGGGTGGCTTCATGGTTAGTGCCCTCGCCTCCGGATTGAGTGGTTAGGGTCCGAGCCCTGTCCGGGGACATTGTGTTGTGTTCTTGGTCAAGACACTTTACTCTCACAGTGCCTCTCTTCACCCCGGTGTATAGATGAGTACCAGAGAAATAAAATGCTGGGGTGATGGACTAGTATCCCATCCAGGGGGGAGTAGAAATACTCCTAGTCACTTCATGCTACAGAAAGCGGGCCTGAGCTCAGGCTTGATGGGCACCTGGATCATACGCAGACTTGAAATAACGCCAAGCACAAGCTTTGAGTCAGGTAGCATGCTTCAGACTTTGTTGATTCAGTCGAGATATTTGTCCTGTGTGAGAGTCCTTAGTCGGTTCGAATTTCAGTTGCGGTAGATCCAGAATCCAGATAATAGTAACGATCTTCTGCCCTACCCCCAAGACAAACGAGTTGCTCAGAGTTTTAAAATTATCTCCAAATTGTGTTCATTTGCCGTGCCAAGATCAGTTCCCGAAGGGGATACAACTCTAGCGTCCCAAAGTGAATACTCAGGCATCAAGTAACACAAGAAACGCAAAGCATTTTACCGTTCATATTTCAAAAAATATCCTCATGGTTTATATTCCAGTCCAACCTCTTTTAATTAGGAAAGTTTGGCTCCTAGTTTACATTTCACTTAAGCTCTTTATTAAATCCATTTTGAAATCACTGGTTATCCTTGCAATCTGATTGGTTCTCGGTGGTGCGATTTATTCACGAATCGCACTATTTTTTGCTCTAAATCGCATCTTTTTCTCAGCCAGTGAGAATGGGACAGTAAAACAAAACAACCAATCAGNTTTAGGCTGGTCGTCACTGTCTGGCAGAACGATATCGAAACCGTCCTGTCGCTGCTGCATATGTCGTTTCACAAACCAGTAGGCTATGTGGACACCTGTCACAGTCTTACCAGTACCTTCCAATGAACGAAAACATGTCATTTCAACTATGCCAAGGTGTTGCTGGCTCCTTAACTATCCTAGTGCTGATTATCTTTTAAAATATGTTGATTTTGATTATCTTTTAAAATAGTTGGATACAATAATGCGTAACTGATCAGTTCAAACAAACAACCAAACAACCAAACAACCAAACAAACAACAAACAACCGACAGAGCGACATAGAGATGGACCCACTGACCAACCGACAAACAGAAAAACAAACAAACAACAGTCAAAACAATAAAACAAGGAAAATGCCGCTCCAAGATAGACAGTCGAATTTGCAGAACTGCCTCTTCAAAAAACAAAAAGCAAACCAGCCTGTTCAATTTAAGAATTGGCGGTTATATTCAAAGCAAGCAATCAAACATACGGACCAGGGTATTTGTGCAAAGCATAATGTTTGGAATATATCATTATAATGAAGCGGCAAAATAAAGCTTTCAAATAAATAGCGAAACAGAGGAGCTTGAGGTGCGCGTTAACTTCATACTTACCTGGAGGACCCTGAACGAGGGTGAAAGGCTTCCCAAGCGCCTCTTTCACTGCTTCTTTCTGATACTGATTTAAGGGCTTAAACCCACAGTTGGGATGCTCCCTCACAATTGACAGGTGCGAAGACGGTGGGGGCCCGAAGTCTTCTAAAGAAGCAAGATAAAATGCTTTTTGGAGTTTAAATCACTGATTAGGGAAGGTGTCATTTGAGGCCATTCTTTAAGTGATCAAGAATCTTCACTTAATTGTAGATCACTTAAATGCATTCAAGTTTTGTTATGTGTGGGAGACGACTCGTCTGACTCTTAACTGGTTCACAACAGTTTCTAGCTCTTTCCATCAGTGATACATCGATGGATCAATACTACCACTCTTTATTAAATCCATTTTGAAATCACTGGTTATCTTTGCAATCTGATTGGCTCTCAGTGGTGCGATTTATTCACGAATCGCACTATTTTTTGCTCTAAATCGCATCTTTTTCTCAGCCAGTGAGAATGGGACAGTAAAACAAAACAACCAATCAGATTTTAAGGTCAGTTTAAATAAATCAATAAAATTTCAGGAAAATGAAAGGCAAAAAGCCATTGTGTGGAGAATTTTGCAACTATTACTGCCAAAACTTTGTTGTTATCGTTGTTTTTTCCCAAAACAATTGACGAATTTAATTAGTTACAGTTTCTGAATGACGATTATGAGCTTCATCAGGCTGAAGACCTACTTTAATGGTAGTTTCTAACTTTCAGTGTCCATTTTGACGAATATTTTGGCGATTTTTCTTCAACATCTGCTCAAGATCCGTGTGATACCGAGTCCAGCAAAACATAAACAAATGAAAACCAGACACCAACAAATTCAGGGTATCTGCTCAAGATCCGTATGATACCAAGTCCAGCAAAACATAAACAAATGAAAACCAGACACCAACAAATTCAGAGCCATCTCAAGAAGGTAGATGTTTCCAGGTTTCCGGTAGTTTCGAACGAAGCAACACAAGAGCTCAACTCTGTTGCTGTGAATAAACATA